TGTAACAAATCCTTGCTTCCTTATCTCTCCTTTGATAGCTCTGGTAATCTGTGTGACTTCATATGTCACTTCCTATCTAGTTCTGTTTCCTTCTCTAAGGGACATTCGTGGTTAAACAATACATCTTTATGATAAAACTTCTCAGAGCCTTCGATATACTCATTGCTTTGTAGATCTCCTAGAGAGGGAATAATATTACCTTTGTCAGTTCTCAAATTGATTTGGCCACAAAGCCTTTTTTCTGTGTAGCATCTTGCAGGATTACTGATATTCTTTGGCACACATTTTTGGAAATTCTGTATTACATCTTCATAAAAGGCCTTTTCAAGGTAAATTGTGGATCTTTGATTTTGTTACTAAGGCTTTTGCTTTCAGAGATAAAAATATTTGTTCTTCCATCTTGGAAGCCACTATGCCCTTTCCATTTTAAATGAAAGTATGTAGTATTTTGAATTTATCTAATTAAGTGGACACAAATATCATGTTTCCAAAGGCAGGAAAATGAGACTTCCTCCCCCCCACACTTCCTATGAACACTAGTATTTGTTTCTCAGTGAGTGATGATGTGGAGACAGATTGTTATATATCAATTAGAGGCAACATAAATCATCCTAGTTATAATCTCTCCTGGTAGTGTCCATAACGGATCTGGAAAAGCAAAAAGCTAAGCCGAGGTCCCTGGACTGCCAGTGAGGAAGAAGGGAGGAAAGCCAAATACATTGAATTCCAGGTAGTAGGATATCAAACACTATGTAAATTTTAGATTTCATGCATACATACACTGAAATCTTGGTGGCTGTCTATGGGTTAGGAGTTCCTGAGTGGTGCAAACAGTTAAGCTGAAAGGTTGGCGGTTCTAACCTACCCATAAGCACCTTGGAGGAAAGGTCTGGTGATCTACTACTGAAAGGTCACAGCCTTGAAAACCCTATGGGGTGCGGTTCTGCTTTGCACACATGGGGTTGCCATGAGTTGTATTTGACTCGAAGGCAGCTGTGTTTCATTGGTTTTGTTTTTATCTATGGGTGATTTCCCTCCTTGCCTAATTTTCCTGTGTCTTTATTTTTATCTTTAAATTGTTTAAAGATAAGGGCAGTGGTGATTTAGCATAAAATTTACCTTTGAAATGCCAGTCTCTCATTTATAACACCTGAGGTGCTAGTCTATTAGTGTGGCTATCTGTATACCATCTATTTTTTATATTTAATATGGGAAATACACCAAAAAAACATTAGTCTTTACATGACACATTAGTTTTAATATGCCGCACATACTATGTCATTCAGTAAGAGAAGCTGTTGAGTAAATCAATGCTACATTTTAATGGTGTGCAGAAGCTAGACTATGTGAAGAACGTGGCATCAGGATTGGAGGAAGATTCATTAACAACCTGAGATATGCAGATGACACAATCTTGCTTGTGAAATCGAAGAGGACTTGAAGCACTTAGTGATAAAGATAAAAGATTATAGCCTTCTGTATGGATTATGGAAACCCTGGTGGCATAGTGGTTAAGAGCTACGGCTGCTGACCAAAAGGTCGGCAGTTTGAATCCACCAGACGCTCCTTGGAGACTCTATGGGGGCAGTTGTGCTCTGTCCTGTAGGTCGCTATGAGTTGGAATCGACTCGACGGCAACGGGTTTGGTTTTTGGTTGGTATGGATTCCACCTCAACACAAAGAAAACAAAAATCCTCACAACTGGACTAGTAAGCAACATCATAATAAACGGAGAAAAGATTAAAGTTGTCAAGGATTTCATTTTCCTTGAATTCACAGTCAGCACCCATGGAAGCAGCAGTCAGGAAATCAAATGAAGCATTCATTGCATTGGGCAAATGTGCTGCAAAAGACCTCTTTAAAGTGTTAAAAAGCAAATATGTCACTTTGAGGACTAAGGTGCACCTGCCATGGTATTTTCAGTTGTCTCATATGCATGCAAAAGCTGGACAGTGAATAAGAAAGACTGAAGAAGAATTGATGCCTTTGAATTATGGTGTTGGTGAAGAATACTGAATATACCATGGACTGCCAGAAGAATGAACAAATCTGTCTTGGAAGAAGTACAGCCAGAACGTTCCTTGGA